GATAGAATCACTGACTGCAAGCCTGTCAGCGGAACGGTGGTAATCCTCCGACTGACGCTACAACAGGCTAAAGCGTTGACCTTGGTACAGGTCTATACACCCAATTTGGAGGGAGAACATGATACCTTCCTTGAGGAAGTGCAATGTGCTCTGAACGAAGTGTCGAATACAGAGTTCCTCATACTGCAAGCGACTTCAATGCGCACGTCGGTGTAGACGCCGAAAAGTGGAACGGCGTGATTGAAAAAAAAAGCCCCAGCGACCACAACAAAAACAGAATTAACCTATTGCGGTTTTATGCAAACCAAGGACTGTCCATTATGAACAACTTCGAGCATCGATGAGTGTATCAGAATACCCGATACAGTGAAGCTTCAGCAGAGAAATCGATGATCGATGTAATAATGGTATCGTCTGACTTAAGAGCTCAGTAACGGATATTCGCTTTAAGAGAAGCGCAGAACCATCAGCCGATCACCACCTTGTTGTCGCTGCGCTGTAAGAAATGGAGTACCATACGAAGATCTGGTGGTAGAAGCAACCGGAGAATCAAATGGGAAAACTATCTTCGGTGGACACGAGAGCGAAATTTGCAAACAACATCGCACGACCGTTTGAACAGATCCCGGTGAGATGACCGTTGAAGTGTAAACCGAGTAGCAGACTTTAACAGCGGCATACTCGAGCCTGCTGCCAAATGATGCGGATTCAAGCGAGTTGGCCTGCCGCCTGGAGGTCAAAAAGCATCTTCATGGTGGACTGGAGAGGTACAACTGGAAGTTAAAGAGAAGAAAGCCGCGTTCAAGAAATGGCTTGGAAACAAAGAGCCTTCTAATAGCGTGCGACATGTCGAGGCACGAAAGGCGGCAGCGAAAACAGTCGCGAAGGTCAAAGCTGATTAGTGAAAAAAGTTCTGTGAGGTATTGTAGACGAATTTCTACACGGCAAACAAGATATTCTGACAGACCAGCCGGCGGCACCAAGGTGAAAAGAAAGGCAGTGTAAAAGTCTTGAAGGACAGGTCTGGGCGCCCTCTTACCAAGGGCGAGGACATTCTTCGACGATGGAGAGTAAATTCAGGAACTCCTTAACCCCGAGCAATCACAGGAAGACTCGCCTGTAGAAAAGCAGGATATTACTATTTCTGTAGATGAAATTACACCACCTGTCGAAAACTTGAAAAATAGAAAGGCTGCTGGAATTGATGAAATCCGCCCTGAAATGCTCAAAACATTAGGCTAACAAGGCAAGTGCTGGCCTACACGTATCTGTCAAACACGATGACTAGGGGGAAGACACCAACGGACTGGAGAACGGGAATTGTTGTCGGTATTCAAGAATGCAGACCACAAGGAGTGCTACAGCGATAGGGGCATTACGTTACTGAGTCTCTCAGGTAAAGTCTGTGCAAAGGTGCAAGAAAGGAGGCACCGCGGAATAACTGACCTCGAGACACAAGAAGAGCAGTGTGGCTTCCGACCCGGTCGAGGTTCCTCTCACCATATATTTGCCCTGCGCCAGATTGATCCCAGATAAATCGTGGGAGTACGCCCGTCCGGTGTACATGTGTTTTGTGGATCTAGAGAAAGCGTATGTCTGTATCCCACGCAACAGTCTGTGGACATGCCTTCGTGCGTACGGGATTGATGGCAAGTTGCTGGGGGCCATCCAATCACTGTATTCTGATAGCAGGTGCTGTGCCAGATTTAATGGCGTTAAATCGAAACCATTCAACTTCGCACTGGTCTCCGCCAAGGCTGCGTCCTGTCCCCTATCCTGTTTATGTTTTACATGGATAGAATAATCAGGAGCTGCCAAGGCGATGAGGGTATCGGTGTAGGAGATGTGAAGTCGAGAAGGTTGCTGTTTGCAGAGCCTTGTTCTATTAGCATCTTCTGAAACTGATCTCCTGTGCTCCTTAGAAAGTTTCGCAGCCGAGTGCGACGTGACCGGCAAAAGCCTGGTGCTTTCTCGTTCTCCTGCCTGTTGCTCTCTTCAGATTAACGGAGAAGCAATGGAGGAGGTGGAGAAGTTCAAGTACCTCGGAACTGTATTTAGTAGTGATGGAAAATTGGAGGAAGAGATCGACCGGCGAATTGGAGTAGCCGGTGGTGTTCTGCGCGAACTTGCCCGATCCATTGTGACTAAAGCAGAGCGCAGTTTGAAAACTAAGCTGTTGGTGTTTAAGTCGATCTTTATCCCCATGCTTAGCTACTGTCATGAGTCGTGGACCATGACTGAAAAGCTTCGCACAAGGGTATAATCTGCTGAAATGGGCTTTCTTAGACGAATCGCTGGGCTTACGCGACTCGACATGGTCGGAATACTGATATCCGGGAGAGTTTCGGTGTACTGCTTTAATTCTTCAGACTGAGAAGTCACAGCTGCTTGGAAGGCTAAGCAACTGATTCTTGCCAAACCGACCTGCGCAACGCCCAGGAAACGGCCAAGGTTAACCTGGAGCAAATATATGGAAGGAATCCGTTCCAGACTCCAGTTGGCATCTGGCGAAGCTCAGATTCTCGCATAGGATCGAGAAGGTTGGAAGCACTGCCTGACGCGTCTGTCTCCGCGACCCGAAAGGAGAAGCGGCCATGGTGATGAATATAAGAGGGACGGCTGACAAGAATCATTACTGTGATCTGATAATTCAATCAGATCAAAGTAATGAACTAATTTACCTAGTTAAATATTTCAGCTTACTTAACACAGATATTTAAGAATACGTCATACTTTATCATGACTTCTGAATATGTGCACATCTGTTGAATGAAATTCTCAAAAGGGCCACGAATCGTCAACTGCTTAGAGGATGGACGATGTCGGTGACGAACTTCATCACCCGTTCCGAGTAATCTGACATGAACGTACTAGTCTGGGCAAGGTCACTTCACTGGATTTTCAAATGCGAACTGTCGAAACAAAGCGCAGAATATCATTTCCATATTTTTCCATTGCTCAAAATCAATCATAAGAATAATCCAATTCTTGCTGTGGCACTATACAGACACCATGTTTCGTTTGAAAGATGCGAGAAGGAATCTAAAAATATTTAAGTCGAAAAACATGACTCCATACCTTGATCCGATGGTTCGGTAGGTTCAAAAACGTCAAAGCTGACCGTCGCCCCATCGTCGAGATGGATATAGTGACGCTGGCTGGGAAGATTCAAATGGTCTGCCCTGTTGAGCACGCCGTAAAAAAACGTCTGCAGATGCCCGCTGCGACCCCATAGCAGAGGCGGAATGTACCTACGGAGAATACGGTAACTAAGAATGGCAGTATGATCCATTGGATACTTACGACTCGTTCAACATCGGTATAAGTTCAACAAGATCGCGCATCTTGTTCTTCAGTTTTCTGGCATAGTAAAACTTTGGTCGTTCCGGAATGCTGCTCAGGCTCATCGACTTTCCCATGAATACAAGGAATATGAAGGCGGCGAACATAACGCCGCCATAAGAGAATGGGATCAGCGCAACGGCGAACATCATCGCCTTTAACAGATGGCTAAAGTGAACCGCTTTACATACAGCTTATATTAATACATCTTATATAAAACTAGACAGTAAAATAATAATCATTATGATGCCAATTTTCACATGCAATAGTGACATCCGGAAGAGCCTTGAAATACAGCCTTTGCCTTGGAATACAGCCTTGGAGCTGAAGAGCCTTGGAATACAGCCTTTCTCCAGATTGAGAAGTCACAGCTGCGATGGCTTGGGCATGTGTTGCGAATGCCTCCAGAAAGGAAG